TTTCTCTCAAACAGGCAAAAAGTTCCTCTCATCCCGAGTTTCAGTTGTTCTGATCGGGAGGTGCCTGCGGCGCCTCCTTCACTTATCCCATCACCTTCCGCTTCTGCTCTGCTCTTCTGGGAACGGCCGTGGCTTTTTCTTCTTCCGACTCTCCCCACGGTTTTGGGATTAGTTAGCTGTAGTTTTGGCTTTTGTTTTTAATAACAATTACATATTTTATTGCCGATAGCTGCTTTTTCTTTTCCGAAGCAGCTTGATCTTGTTTCCTAAGTGCAAATTTCTGCTATAAAAATAGATACGCACCCAGATCCCACCCCGAAGGCCTTACGGTCCAGACAAAAGACGCTGGGGCCCCAGGGGGCGCTGGAGGGGGGCACGGACTTGGGGGGAAGGACAGGAAGTCTGCTGTGACAGCATCGTGGGGACTTGGGAGCTGATCAGCAGCAGCCGGGTGAGGCGTCCAAGGTCGGTGCCTGTGATCTGGGACCGAGTGACAGCCATCGGGAAGGATCGGCCGTGTCGTGCTCGGTGGTGAGACTGGAAGCTGGCCCCTGTGATGGCAGCAGGGCCGCGTTTTCTGTTAAATGCCGCACCGCGGTTCTTCACCGGCGCCGCCATTGGGCAGAAGAAATAAACGGCACTCGGCCTGGAAACGGGCAAGCGACGCGGTCTCTGCCGCGGACGACATCGTCGCGTTGTGTACAGAACATCCGCAGGGGCCCATGGCAGACCCTCGGGGCTGACGACCAGGCCCAGCAGAACCGCAGGGCATGAGCGCTGTAACGGAAGTTGTTGTATTGTTATACCGAAGCAGTAAACACTCCAAGACTGAAATAAAGGAAACAACTCTATTATAACAGCATCAAAAAGTTAAAATACTTAGGAATAAATTTAACAAAGAGTTTAACAGTTGTACACTGAAAACCATAAAATGCTATGGAAAAATGTAAAGAAGACCTACAGCAGTGGAAACTGCCTCACTTGCTGGATTGGAGGCTGTTGAAGGTAACAGTGCTCCGCAGACTGACTGGCGGGTTCAGTACAGTCCTTGAAATCTCAGCCGCCCTTTGGTGGAAAATGACCAGCTATAATATTCATAACGAAATTCAAGGGACCCAAAATAGCCAAAACCAGCTTGAAAAGGAAGGAAAAAGTTAGAGGGGTCACACTACCCAATTTTAAAACTTACTACAAAACTCCTGTGTAATCAAGACCCTGTGGAATTCCGAGAGTAACGTCACCAAAGTGGCAGTGGCAGTGACCCCAGCGTCCACCCTCCAACAAAGATCGACAGTAGACAGCTGCCCACAAACAGCAGACCCGGGAGAGCCTTGAAGCTTCCTCAAGGAGCATCAGCAACACTGCGGACCAGAGCAGAAAGCTCGCACGGGCAGGGAGACAGCTTCATGTGGCCACCTTCCTCCCGCCCTCCCTCCGGCTGGCAGTGCCCAGTGACAGGCGAGCTTCCCAGCGGGAACGGTGTCCACTGTGGGGACAGAATCCACCACACCCGCTGGGACAGGAGGGCGGGGGGTGACCGGCTTCCTCAGCTCTCAGGGTCCCTGCACAGAGGTCCCACGGACTGGCAGAGTTGAGATGTTGGTGACATTATTCATAATAGCCCCAAACGGAAAACACCCCTTGTATCCTCCCATCAACATTCAGATGAGTGGGTAAACAAAATGTTGCCGATCCACCCAATGGAGTATTATTCAGCCATAAAAAAAAAATCCAGTACTGACTCAGGGTACAACATAAATTACCTTTATCTAAGGAAAGAAGCCAAACACAAAAGATCACCTATCATGTGATTCCACTGACTTGCAATGCCCAGAACAGGAAAATCTGCAGACACAGAAGTAGATCAGTTGTCCTCGGGGACTGGGGGCAGGGGGGGCATGCGGGCCGACTGTGAGCGGGTGAGAGAGCTCTTGGGGGGTGGTGACAAGGTGTTGGGATTAGCGACAGTGGTGACGGTAGCAGGACTTTGTGAATATACTAGGAGTCACTGGATCGTACGCTTTGAAAGAGTAGGTCGTGTGGTGTGTGAGTTTCATCTGATGTTTTTAAAAGAGGATACGATGCCTTGGAGCAGGAAGGGTGTGCAGGGCCCCGCGATGGGCCGTTTCTTTGAAAGAGGAGACCGAGCTGCCTGCTGTACCGGGCGGACACCAGCTCCCCTCCCCAGAGCGTCTGGGCTGCCCTCCTGTGCAGTCAGCCCTGACTCGGCCACCTGCAGACTCCAAGGGAAACACAAGCCCACCCTCCTGCAGACACTGCCTTCGACCTCCACGTTTAGGAGATGTGGGAATGAGACGGCCAATGTAGAGCTCCTGTTACTGCAGCTTTGCAAAATAATGTGAGTTGATAATTCCTTCATATAAAGTTACACTAATACTTAGTTGCTGTGTTTTGTAGTAACTACAGGTTTGAACTAACGCTGTTACGTCTGTCTGACATTCTGTTTGAATTGTGGGAGTATGTCCTTGGCATTGCCCAGGTTACCCTGTGGTTCAATCATAACTGTAGCAGTCCCCCGCAGTCCCCCACTGCCCCCCACCGCCCCCCACCCCCGGGTAAAAAATCACCGAAAGTCATTGCATCAGGAATTTGGACATTGTTCAGACGAGGCAGTCAGGGAGGACTGAAGACTTGTTGACAGAGAGCAGGCAACCCTAGGAATTTCGGCAGATCGGTCACATACTTTATTTCTGTCGTCACCCCGTACAGAACGCAGGTGGTGCTGTGCCCGGCCGGTGACATCCTCACCCAGCCCCGGGCTGCACTTCAGAAGAGGCCATTCCTCTCAGACGGCTGGGACGCCTCCGCAGTGGTCCCGGCGGGCGGGCTGGTGGGCGGGCGTGCGGGGCTGAGCTCTTCCTGGAGGCGGAGGTGCTCCACGCCACCTCCGCTGTCTCTCACTGGGGGCACAGCTGCCACCAACCTTCTGGTGGCACGTGGGTGACTTTTCTGTGACTGAGGCAACATAAGCAAATGCTAACAGAGCATACTTTTCAGTGATATATCTGGAGGGATCCTGTGCCGTACAAATTAGAAAATAAGTTTGAAAGCAGCAGTTGTTCAACCCAGTGAAGCAGTGTAAGTATTGGAGGTCATTTGGGGTGAGGGTCGGTGGGTAAACCCAGTGAAAAGAAGAGGTTGTCATGCAGACGACAGAAAAATACAACTGTTACGGTCTGCCTTCTTCAATACTACCAGTCAGTGTTTCTGGGCCTAATTCAGTGAGAAGTTAATAAAAGTAACAATTGCATCTTAATTTTGTTGTGTTGCCTCAGAAACTCAGGTGTGTGTACAGTCAGCAAGTTCATTGGTCATTTTTTACGTGCATGTTGACATCTTTACAGTTTCAGTGATTATTAAAACTAGTCGAGTATGGAAAGAGAATTTGAATTTACAGATGTCAGTTGTGTCTAAGTCATAGTAATTTGATTCTAATTTTTCTACCCCGTTTATCATCATTTATGACTATTTGTTGAGGACGCCGTTTTGGGCACAAGACACAGGCACGTGTCATGTTCCCAGCTTCTGTGAGGTCCGGTACGTTTTCCCTCCTGTGCACCTGGCTGTCCAGGTGTCCCCACACCCTTTACTGAGGGACAGTTCTTTCCCCGTTGAGCGTTCTTGGCTACTCTCTCATAAAGTACTTGACCCTGTAAGTGTGGGTTGATTTCTGGCCTTGCTATTCCATTCCACTCACTGGTCTGCCGCTCCTCTGGAGCAGCCCCTGCCCTGGCAGTGCCAGGCCTCGCAGAGAGGGGGCAGCACTGAGCCGCCTCCGCAGGCCGCTGAGGGGCGGCCCGGAGTGCATCCTGACGTTGCCACACTGCTGAAATCTCAATGCCGCGCGATCTCAGAAGCATCTCTGTCTGGTTAATGTCTGTTCCTTAATGTGTTATTTGGCGCTCGCTTGTGTAGTTTATAGATTTATAGTGAGGATTATACTTTGTTGTTTTCCAGGGAGTTAAAAGATTGACGAAGAAATGAGTATCTTTGTTAAATAAAAACTTAGGCTTCAATTTATTTTCACAATCGGAGTGGCAGATCAGGCATGCAGTGGAAGACCGTGGGTCACAGCACGTCAGGGTTGGTTGGTTCAGAAAAGTGAAAATGTGTAAGTCCTAAATGTCGTTCACACCGTTCCTGGAGCTCTCTGGCTTTTGCCCCAGCAGGTGTCACCAGGAGCGCGTGCACTTGGGTGAGCTCCTGCATTTGCCCTTGGAGCCTCCCCCCCGCCCCCCTTGTGGTCAGAATGCACCACAGGTGTCTGCAGCTCGTAGGCACAGAGAAGGACAGCCCCCACAGGGAAGGCTTTTCTGGTGAAGGGCATCTGGGCAGCAGCACCTGCGTGGCCTTTCTTAGCTGCCCCATCGTCCCTGAGAAGGACCACGCAGTGCCACCCGCCGTGTCCTCTGCTGCAACCAGCTGCTCCCAGCAGGCAGAGCGGTGCGAAGGGGCAGCCCTGCGCCACCGCTGCCGTGGCTCCGCGCTGTGCTCTCTGCATTCCTGCCCAGGGACGGATCCCAGCAGCCCCCCCACATGGGCAGAGCTGCGAGGTGTCGGGCCTGGCCCCCCAAGGCCTCCCTCCTTGGCCTGCAGATGGCCTCCGCCCTGCGGTGTCCCCCTGTGGTCTCTCCCCTGGCACCCTTCCCTATCGTGTCACCCTCTGACACCAGTCCTGTGGGGTGGGGCCACCCGAACTTCCTTTCTCACTGCATCACCATCTTATCAGCCCGTTCTCCAAACGCAGTTACCTCGTAAGGTACTGGGGGTTGGAGCTTCAATGCAAGAATGTGGAAGGTCCTGGTCCAACCCCTGCAATTGTATAAAATGTGAAAAAGAATTACTGCCGTGAGTGACATGGCCCGTCAGGGTGAGAGGTGAATGAAGACATTGGCAGACTCCCGGCGTCTCGTGCTCGCCCATGATGTCTGCAGCACGGAGGCTGACCCGTCCCCAGCACTGTGTCACTGTCTTCGCAGGCCTGGCAGCTTCGGTTCAGTCACCTCGTGGGCTACGGAGCCAAGTACTACTCTTACCTGATGTCCAGGGCTGTCGCCTCCATGGTTTGGAAGGAGTGTTTCCTACAGGATCCTTTCGACAGGTAAGCAGGGGGCAGAGCCAGAGACATACCCTTCCATGCCACCACCCCCTCCACCAACGACCGGCCCTGCAGAACCCAGCCTGAGCCCACGGGAAAGAGGGGCTCTGGGGGCATTGCCGTCACAGCGCCTGGACCTCTAAGGCTCTTCTCTCCCACCCAAGCCCTCTCCTGCTTACACAGCCTTCCGCCCCACTCGCAGCCATGAATGACGGCCCCTGCAGGTGGCGGCCCGGCACCCTGTCCCTGCGCCCACAGGGGCCTGCTGCATGAGCGCTCCGAGCTCCAGCCCTGGAGGCCTCACTGACACGCTCACCCCCTCCCTGCAGGGATGCTCAGCCCCCCCCCCCGCCCCAGGGACAGTGCCCATTGCTCTCGGCACGTCCATCACGGGGACCGGCGTTGATTCCACACGGGCATCCCCCTGTCCTCTCTCCGTTGGTGCCTAAGGGAGGACTTGGCACTTTCTCCAGCCAGGAGCAGCCCTGCTGGAACCTGGGATGATGGCCCTTAGCATCCTGCCCACGGGAAAGAGGGGCTCCGGCTGCGAGCTCCCCACCCCCCAGCTGCCCGTGCAGCCTGACTGAGGTTCGGGTTTCCTCAGCAGTTAGTGATCGCCTTCAGTCCCCGGTCTTTTGAACTTGGATCTGACGTAGTAGAATTGTTCAGTGTTTTACAGCTTGGTGCCCACATGCTGTTTTGTCTTCAGCCCTTTGCATGAGCAGGCATTTGGTCTGCTTTTCAGATTTTATTATTTTCAAAGGACCTAAAGCCAAAATTGACTAGTTTGAGGGATTACATTTTTTTACTGGAGATTTCTATGAAATGGACAAAATATCTTGTTTAAAGGAACTACACTTTACTAGAAAACCGCATACTACTAAATATGTATTTCCAAGTTATTTGTATCTTGTTTATATACACATTCTTGCCTAGACATGTACTGGCCAGAGTTTCGTAGACATGTAAAAAGTGAGCTCGGAAAAACACTCACTGACAAACAGTTCTCGCCTCCATCAGTAGGTCCTTTTGGACCTTGCTTTTGAAAAGGACCAGGCTGGAAGCTGACATCAGGGGCCAGGCAGCCCCAAGCTGAGCAGCGGGAGAACCGTGGTGTGACTCAGGCCAGCGGCGCAGCTGGGAGGGATGCCACGCTCCCGGCCGGAGTCAGGCTGGGCCTCTCTGCTGCCTGTCCCCTGAGGAGGCCTGGCCCTGGTCCACATTTCCTGCTGCAGGGCACCTTCTGTCTGAGCTCTCACTGCCGGATGCAGCCACACCGGTGTCTGCGATGAGCCTGTGTCTGACGGAGCATGGTGCCAGAAGTCCTGATTAGAGATCATGCTCACAAAATCCATGAAGTCACCCGTGCACGGAATTGCTGCAGAGACCGTGGGGTGAAAACATCGAAATTTGTGTTGTCACAGGGCGTGGTCATTTGCATTAAAAGAGTTGCCCTTTTCGTAAAGTAGCAGTGCAGCCCTACATAGCTTGTGTCCAGGTGCTGCTGACTTGAAGAATGACTGTCTATAAAAATTCTTCAACATCTGCCCCCCCATGGTACAGACTGTTCCCCAAGGACCCCAGCCGACTGGGAGCATCTACAGGTGAAAACAGCTGCTCCGTCCTCGGCCTCTGCCACCCACCCCTCCAGAGCCAGTTTTCTGTCCCCTTAGCTGGTCCCCACAGCCCAGGTCTCCCAGGGAGTGAATTCTCTCCTGCCAGCTTTCTTTTCTTCACTGTCACTTCAGAATGTTACTTTTCTCTGTGTTAGGCCCCATCTCCAGTCTTTCTGTGAAAGTCCAGACTAGCATAAATCATTTCAGAACTCACAGTAAGCTAACCCCAAAGGCCACAGAGAACGGAGTATAATCCTGCTTATCCTGTAATACATAAATGAAGGGATCCTTTCCATGAAGGGATTGCTTGCTGTGTACAGAGCAGCTAAACAGATAGGTAGCTTTTTACAGTGAATATATGATTTTGCTCATTAGAATAATTTAAAAATTGGAATTAGACTCTAAGAAGCAAGAAAGTAAAGAGCTGAATGGTCTTGCAGTGGCAGCTTCCCAGACTATGACATCAGGGTGGCTTCTCTCGAGAAACTACCAACAGATGTGAGTGTGGCCCAGCAAGCTGCCCACGCAGGGCCCCCAACGCCTCTTGTCTCCCCAGGGCGACCGGGGAGCGCTACCGGCGGGAGATGCTGGCGCATGGCGGGGGCCGGGAGCCCATGCTCCTGGTGCAAGGTAAGCCAGACGGGGCCGGGGCCTTTCCGAAGGGTTAGTGGGCCATGCATTTGAGTGTCAGCAGGTGAGTTTGCTTTTGGCCACCTGTAACGAAAGCTCCCTCACGTGTCCTCAGTATCGTTTCCTTTAAAGAGCTGGTGTTTCAGCTGTGCACGTTTTCTGAGAATCTGTTCATTGTATCCCAGATAATGTGAGTCTTATTGTGTCTCTGTCCTAGTGTTCATTCTATTTCATCAGTACCCGAAATAACATTAATTTTTAGTTACTGTGTTTTATTTAGATGCCAGCATACACTTTCAGGCTTAGCTTTCAAAACCTTACTAGCGCTCTAACAGGAAATTGTTAAATTTGTCATAAATTTATATTTTTGTCATCAATTCTCAGAAAATCTGCCTTTAGATTTTAATAGATCAGTGTATTTCTTTAGCCACCAGAATTCACTTATTTCTTACTCCTTTGTTTCTGGCTCTGAAAGTTTAGCTACACATTGGCTGGAAATTTAAGGCATCAGGTTGGACTTTTAAAGCCTGGAAAACTTAGAACCTAGGTAACTGTTCCGGGGCCATCACCAAGCTTGTTTGCCTGTGTGATTGTTTTCGGTAATCTCATACCTTCACGTGTTTTCCCTGCAAGTGTAGTGCACGTGGAAGTGACTGCCACGACTCTGTGTGACGTTCTCACAAGCGTTTAGAGGAAGGTGTGAGCACTCACAGGCGCTGCAGCTGTGGGCGGCTGTCGGGTGCAAGTGGCACCTGGGAGCTGACTTCCGGGCTCGGGGGATGTCACCGTCTGTCATTGTTGAGCAGGTCCTGAGAGTGCCGGTGCTGGCGGCAGTGTTTTCTGGCCCTGACCTCTCTGGTCAGGTGCCCGAACCCTCTCCTTCAGCCGCGTGTTTACCAAACAGGAGCGCGGGCGTGTGCCGAGTGCTGCCTGCGTGCCAGGTGCCCTGGAGTGGCCAGGGACAAGGGAGACAGGGACCCGGCTCCAGCGGACACCTGCCGGCCAGCACCACGCAGGTTCCTCCCAACGGCCCAGCCAGCCCGGGGCCCTCCCTCTGCGGTCACACGGCATGGCTGTGCCGGGCCAGTAGCACTTTGGTTTCCTGCCACGGGCTGGCCCGCAGAGGGCAGGTGACGCCACCTCCCTTGTCCTGTCGGCCCTTCCTGAACTCCACCAGACCCAGGAACTTTCAGCTGTCCTTCGTGCCCTGATTCGCGCCTGGCAGCCCCGTGAGGCGGGAAGTGCCCCTGCCCCAGTTCGTAGTGGACCAGGCTGGCCGCACCGGTCCTGGTCCTGAGGCCGTGAGTAGGGACCCGGGTGCAGCCCGGGCCTGGGCCTCCCGGCAGCTGAGAGGGGACTGACTGTCTGTCGTCCCCGTGGCTCCCCCTGCCTGTGGGGCAGAACGCCCAGCAGGGGTCGATTACAGGCTCTCATGGAAGCAAAATTCACCGGCTCGCAACAGTGAGCCACGGACGGGCGGAACCGCGTGCCTTTGAGCAGTAGTGTTGGTGCTGAGTGGACAGCCGTCCGGAGCGTCCACGCTGCCTCCCCGGGGGATGGGCCGTCGGGGCTACGCTCCCCTCAGCCATGCTCGCCTCGTGCTGCCCGTGACGGGCCTGGGTGGGCTCTGCACGTAGATGTTAGTGTACACGTGCGTCCCGCGAAAGGCAAAAGTAGGATCTTTTCAGCATTTGGCTTTCACTTGGTGTATTTTTTTACCGTTTCTAAGAATGTTGTTAAAAAAATCTCTCTAAAAATTTTGATCTTTGTATGAAACCTTCTCATGTTAAGAAATTTAACACTTTCAAAACCATAATTTCCATGTGAGAGAGGAAAGGAAGAGTGGGGCTCCGAGCGGAGATGGTGAGGCATCCAGGCCCTGTTTCACACCAGCGGTGGACCGCCTCCGCTTCGAAACGCTCCTGCTCTCCTGGCTGCTGGTCAGTCCTGCACGGGAACTCACGTGACGTGCCGCGTCAGGCACCAGTGGGGCTGCCTCGCCCAGTTCCCCTTCCCAGGGCCCTGTGGCTCCGTCCAAGTTGACGCCCTTGCTGTGCTGACTGCTCTCCGGCCGTCGTGGCCACTCCAGGCCTTTAAAGTCCCGACCTGAGGGTGGCCGGGCCTTCGGACCACAGGAGACATAAGCTTGAGGTCCCCGCGCCCCCCAGGTCTGCATTCTGCTCACCTCAGCCCAGGAGAGGCCGCCTGCCCTCTGTTCACCTGCAGTGAACTTATCCCTGAGCTATGTTCCTGGGAGCACTTGGTACTTCTGTGGCTGAGCTACTGACACCCTCCATGGTCCCTGTCTATCCTGGGGGCTCTGACAGAAGGGTTCCCGCCACCGCAGGGTGAGTGACGTGCTCGGTGGGTCTCGAGTCCCTGAAGCTTTCCTGCACGGAGCTCACGCCCCCCTCCGCCTCTGCACAGAGACTTGGGTGAGGGAAAGGAAAGGTTATGGTCCCAAGATGGAGCATTGCAGAGATCATTTTCAAATATTGAACAGCTCTATTTCTCTGCTCCTTTCTAAAGAAAAAGAAACTCTTAGCTCTAGTTTTGTCTCTCTCACCAGAAGCGGTGGCAGGTAGAGGTACAAAGTAGCGACTTGACGGAATCTAAAAGGAGCCAGCGTCAGGTAAGAGAGCAGATGAGTGAGTCAGTTTGCTGGAAACTCCCGCAGTCGTCCGTGTTGCCAGAACGACTCTCGGAACGAAGTCTAGGAGCCTCGGGGCACTGCCGAGGGCCTGTTGGAGACGTCTCCACTCCCCTTTCCAACGAGCACGCTAGTTTCAGACACATTTAGTTTTGCCGTACTCATCTTATCTCACGTTCCAGATCATCTCTCCCAACCTCTTACATATTTTTGTCCGGGAAACAAACCAGGGAATTGTGGTTTATATTCCAGAAAGTCCCCAAGGAGAGTAATACAATCTGCAACTGCTCTTCTTTTTTTTTTTAATCCTCACCCGAGGATATTTTTTTTCCACCGAAGAATTATGTTCAAAACCTGCACCAGTGGAAGTAAAACAGGGATGATGGGCGTAGAGAGCTAGAGCTGCTCTGGGTGGAAGAGCTGAGCTGAAGACATGTGATTCCTGACTCTCGTTTGAAACGTTGCCAGAGAGCAGAGAGACAGGAAGACCTCTCCTGGTTGGACGGGATTGTTTCCTGGGAGATACAGCTTTACAAGGGTCCTTCCATTTATTCGAGTCTGTTCAACTATCCCCAAAGAAAACTCTTCCTTTGGACTAATACGTCACTCTGCTAATAATCAAACTTGATTTAGATCATGCCTAAACCTCATTTTTTTACTTAATAGTTTATCTTCGTGTTAAAGTTTTTTAATAGAATACTTCCTCCTTTATCTCAGAGTTCGCATATCTCAAACATTTAAAAAACACTACCCAGCCCTTTCCCTGCTCCCTCGCATCATTTATGGGATGTCAGGTAACACGTGTTTGGTCTTTTAATCTCCTTCTTACGGCACTGAACGTGTGTGTAGTTTGATTAAGCTGTAGGGTCAGGGGGCAGCTAAACCCAATTTACATTTTTCCTAAAAGCAGTTCAAACAAAGCAGGGTTTTTAAAAATTCTTAAGATCTCCAACCTCATGCTCCCGGTCACTGAACTGCCAGCACCACGCGCGTTCACGCCTCGTGCACGGGCCCTGCTCAGTCCGGGTCCAAGTTTATTAAAATGCTGCTGCAGCCCCAGCGCTGGTTTTCCTAAGGGAACTCACACTGGGTTGGATATGAACTGCTGAGACTAATTGCTGCTGCTTTTACTTTTTTTTTTTAATTTTTAAAGATTTTATTTTTAGAGAGAGGGGAGGGAGGGACAAAGAGAGGGAGAATAACATCAGTGTGTGGTTGCCTCTCGAGCTCCCCCTACAGGGGACCTGGCCCAAAACCCAGGCATGTGCCCTTACTGGGAATCAAACTGCCAACCCTTGGCCCTCAGTCTGGTATCTCATCCACTGAGCCACGCCCGCCGGGGCTCATTTCTGCTGCTTTTATGTGTGCCACGTTGAACAGACAAGAGAGGATAGCAGTAGTAGCAGCAGTATGAGCAGCGACCCTGCTAAGACCTGCGATGAGCGCTCTGGGGGGGCGCTGGCCCCTTGCAGGCTTCACCTCGCTGAGTTCTCTCAGCAGGCCAGGGCTGCGTTTGGTAGTGGCCCCTGAGGCCCCACAGTAGAGCTAGAACCCAGTCCAGGCCTGTCTGCTGGGACTGGTGGGCAACCTGCACCTCTCTGTCAGGGGTTCCCAGGCCCCTTTCGCTTTGGAAGTTGTGTGCGCATTCCGCCGCATGTCCCCCTTCGGCTCAAGCAGTTTTCGGTAACATCGTAGCCTTGTCTAGATCACGCCGAAGCCCAGAGAAAACACTTCTGAGTTCACGGAGCAAGATGTCACTGGGACAGGCCCGGGGTGGGGCGCATGCGAACCAGGACTAACTGCGTGTCCGTTGCCATCCGTGCACAAAAGTGGTTTTGCGGCCAAGCACGCTTGTCAAGTGAGAGCGCGGGAGCCGAGTTGGCCATCTGTCTTCCATCTGTCTTTGAGACGCCCGGCGGCAGAGCCCGGCCTTTCTTGCACAGTGTGACCAGCACAAGTAAGGGAAGCACGCCGTGGAGCCAGGCTTGGCGTTCAGGGGCTGGAGGATCATGGTGCGCTTCTGCGGCAGAGCTGTACGGCAGCCCACAGCAGCAGCCAGGCAAACAGAACCCTAATCTTGGGCCTGCCGGGCTGTTTGCTCAGCGTAGCCTCTGAAAGAGCTGAGAGCTTTCTGGAAGGCGGGAAGGAAGAGCACCTGGTTCTCAAGGCTGGGGCTGCCTTCTCCGAATGCCCTGAATTTTTAGGAGGGCGTGTGCCTGTTTAATGGGTGGGTGTGTTTGCTTGGAAGACATTGAACTTCAAAAGGCACAATGTTTTGGAACCCAGAAGTGCAGTGGTAAATGGAATTACTCAATCGGACAATGAAATTAAAATAAACTAATTTGTAAGCAGAGCAGGTCTGAGGGCCCCACTGGGTGGGCCCGCCCCGTCCAGCAGGAAGCTCTGCTTGGGTCGGCGTCAGCAGCCCCAGGTGCAGCGGCTTCTGTGGGAACGGCAGCAGGGCCCAGCCCAGCCCGGGGCCAGTGTCGCTTTGCAGCTCAGAGGAGGAAAGGAGCCTCACTTTCCGGCTGGTACCCTCATTTTCTCGGGAACCGATGGCAGCCAGTGGGAGTCCATCCCAGGAAAGGGTGTGGACAGTCACAGCCTAGCAGCAGAGAACTTCAAAGCAGAGAGGGCGAGCCACACGGTCGTCCTGGGCGAGGGAGGGACGGAGCCGGAGCGCAGCTTCTCAGACAGCCAGGCCAGCCCTTGTCCTCGAGGGTTTGATCAGTCTGAGCTGAGATCGGCACATGTAATTATTTCAGCAGCCGTGAACTCTGAGATGGGCTTCGAGAACCGTGTGCCAGGCACTCCCGGGTACCCCTGTGCCCCACACCTGTAGAGACCGCCAGGTGCACCTGGTCACAGAGGGCAGGCGGCACCCGGCTGGACATCTGAGTGCATCAAGGCTCTGACGTGCCACTTTGGTCTCTAAAAAAACTGTGCTGCAGTTTACGAAACGTACAACTCACCATTTCCCCCTTTTTTACGTGCGCAGTTCGGCAACGCTCACAGTTATGCTGTTGGCTGTGTCTTCAAGGCAGTGAGGGACAAGTGATGAGTTGGGTCCCTGTAGCCACTGGTGGCATCAGCAAACTCCTAGACACTTTCCCAGAATTTCAACACACACTTGGTTTTTGTCGTGTTCCAGATGCTGGTGTGTAATTACAGGCCTCTCCAGCGTGTGCTGTTGTACGGAACTTTCGTGTGTCCCACATTCTGCGGGCATGGGCTGTGGGGCCAGACGCCAGGGCCGGACAAAGGGGCTTCATGGTCCCATGACCTCTTCTTGCCCCCTGGTCTCACCTGTAAGGTGGGCCCCTCACAGGTGTGTGGTAAGGATTGGATGAGTCGATCCTTACCCCAGGTGGCAGCCCTGACTGGAGTGGCTGCCGGTGGCCAGGCCCTCACCCCTGCAGCTTTGTCCCCACTCTGCCCCTGGCTCGATGTCAACAGTCAGTAGAGAGACAAACACGTAATTTGGAAGCCTTCACTGCTCCAGAAATTGGCCTGAGAGCCCTTTTGACAGTGTCACTTACTGTCCCCAGGCCTTGGATGGTCACCCTGGGGCCATGAGGCCATGGAGCACCCCGGTCTGAGCAGAGCGTCAGTGAAAACACTCCGGGCTCTCCCTGGCCTTTATCAGCCCCTTTGCCTCTCGGGCGGGGAGAGGGGAAAAGTGCCCAGAATCCCCAATGTCCAGAGGGACTGGCAGGTGCAGGGGGGCCTGTGCCTCTGTGCTCCCGCCACCGCACGGCCAGCCCTTTTCTGCTCTGAGCTGCCCAGTCGTCCTTCGTTTGTTTCAGTCCTTTTGGGAAAATTAATCCAGGAAACCCCCGCCCAATTTAGGTGATTTCCACATTGAAATAGGTTTGTAAACTCCACCCACTTACAGACTGAACAGCCCCGGCCTCCCCCAGGGGCTCCTACTGAACGGCAAGTCTAGTCATCACCCCTTTAAGATTAGGGCTTGAAGACAAAGGGAGCGTTTTTTGTCAGCTTTAAAGAAAAAAATCAAAGCGTTTTCGGAATGTTTTTGACTGTGCACATGTGAGAGCTGACTTCAGTTTCTCGTGTTTGCTGAACTGCTTGAAAACGCGGTGCTTTCCGTTCAACTCCGTGCAGCAGTCAGTTCGTGTTGGCACTCGCAGACCATTTAAACCTAATTAGGGCGAGGACTCGGCAACAATATGCTGAGCGAGTTCCTGCCCCCGTGACTGTTCTTTGAGCCCTTTGGTTCTGATTTCTCTCCCTGAGCCTTCATCTTCAGCAGTCGCATCCCAGGAAAAACGACCAAACCACTGAGCTCTGCCCAGGTTTTACTCTAAAATGCCCCAAGTGTGTGTTTTTTCTTTCCTTGTGGCCACAATCGCCCTTCTCGGAGGCAGCAGTGCCCGCGGGTGGGGAGCCAGGGAGGCTGTGAGCTGCCGGGGTGTGCGGCCAGAGGGACAGAGCGAGGTTGTGTTGGCCTTGGCAGCCGGTGGGGTTGGAGTGGGCCACATCAGAGGCACAGGGGGGCTGCACGGGGCTGAGTACATGTGCTCTGAATGAAGTGGGTTCGACTCCTGGCGGTGCTAGTCACTTAATTACAGAACGTCCCTCGTGCTGAAGGAGAGCGCTGTTGTACTGGGCCAACTCGAGTGATGGGAAGCGCGTCTTGCCCACGACCGTCCTGCGTGTGAGGATCCTGGCCCCTAGGAACGGCCCAAAGCCTGAGGGACGCACCAGACCCGTGCGTCACTTAAGTGACGGCGGGGAGTGGGCGGCGCTGCCCACCAGCAGGACGCACTGTTTCTGTCACTAGCACAGCGGGGCCAGAGGACAGGCCTCCTCTCTTCCAGAGATGGTTTTGCTGTGAAAAGAAAATTGTGTTTTGGACTTCAGCGTCACAAATAAAGGCAGAGCAGTGGGATTTTGTTTCGCCAGCTGCTCCTCCTCTCACATACGCCCTGAGATGCAGACACCAGAACCGGGTGTTCCAGCCTCCTGCCTTTCCAGCGTCCCCTCCCCCGGAAACCCCGGATTGGAGCCTGAGACTCCCCGGTCCACCAGCGTCCCGCCCAGGCCGCAGCCACTCCGCCCGGCCCCCGAGTCTCCCACCAGCGTCCCTCCTGCTGCTCCCTGACCACACTCAGCGTGTGCCTCACGCCCACAGTTCATTGTCTGGACGTCCGGTGCCGGACACTTCCCGCCGCCCCTGGACCGGCCACCCAGACCCACGGCGCATGTTCTGCCGTGGCTGCTGCCTCACAGGTGCAGGTGGCAGGCGGGGCACCTCTCACCCCTGCACACTTGTACAGGTGTGGCACCAACTGCAGTGTCACTCTCGTACCAGAAAGCCCCCCACGTCCCTTCCCTGTCACTCAGGGCAGCCGCTGCTCTGGTTGTCCCACCACAGAGTAGCCGGCCCATTTTCGAACTCCATGCAAATGAAAATCCACGGTAGGTCTCCCTTGCGCGAGGCTCCCTGCACTCAGCGCTTGTTCAAGGCCCACTCGCGTCCTTGCTGGCATCGCTGAGTTGTGCACCAGGGCAGGAACGCAGCCCTATTCTTCGGCCGAAGCCTGTGCCCGGAAGCCTGTGGGCCCCAGTTTGGGGGGAGGAGTTCTTCCTCCTGCGGGCTCCCTCCCACACCCTCCGGGTCCCTGCCCGGGGGGGAATCGCTGTTTCCAGAGCAGACCTGTGCTTAGTTGTGTAAGGAACTGCGCGGCCTTTGACCAGAGGAGGGTCAGTTCAGCACGGACGCGAGACAGTCTGGGCGCCCGCGGCCTGGTCGGCGGGTGCTGCACTCGGCCCGTGTCTTCGGCTGTGCTGGCAGGTGCCGAGCAGCGTCCCCCCGCGGCTCTCGCTCACTGTCACTATGACAGTGACCTCGGTGTCCTCAGTGCCTGTTAGACTTTTGTGTCTGGTGGATGTCTTCTCTTGTGGAAATCTGCCTCACTCTTCTGTCCATTTTTAATTTTTTTTAAATATTTTTAATGGTGAGTTTAAGGACACCTTTATATATTCTGGGTACCAGTATTCTGGGAGGTATCTTTAAAGAGTGGAAGTTTTTAGTTCTGATAAAATACATCAGGTTTTGCTGGTTACTCCTTTGTGTCCTGAGAAATCATTGCTTCCTTAAAAGTCACAAAGCGCTTCTATGTTTTCTTATAGATAACTGCATAGTTTCAGCTTTCACAGTTAGCTGTGTGCCCATCTCCAATTAACTTTCACGTACAGTATGTGGTGGGGTCAAGGTTAATGTTTTACGCCATCCGGCTGTATCCAGTTGCCCAGGTTTCCTTAGTGGTGTGTCCTGCTTGCCCTCTGGTTGACTCCGACTGTTTGTCTTTGGACTTCGGCCGATCGTGACCCGGCCTGGTTCTCAACACGCAGCAGGTACTCAGGACATGTTGAGTGACGTTAAAGATTTGGAGGATAATCGCGGAGTCTGCGATCTTCTCAGGCCTCTCGAGGTGTTGGAATTAGATTTATAGGCTTCGTCCCCCGAATTAAGTGCCAGAACACAGAGCCCTGTTCAGCCCTGAGTGAGCGTTGCCTGCCAAGAACGGAGGTTGGGGCAGCGAGATTGATTGATTGGGTCTGTCTCTTTGGATTGAAAAGTGACGTAAATCCAGCTTTTATTAAATGTTGGTACGTGGTGGACATGGCGCCTCCTTGCCTTCCACTGTGTTTGATCCTGTGGCAACCTAGTGTATGGGATGAGGTGACTTCCAATTGCACAGAGTTACTAAGTTGCAAAGCTGGGAGTTCTCCAGGAGGGGAAAGTTGGAGCAAAGCCAATAACTTCACTCTATAAGATTTCTGCCAAAAAATTAACACTCGATTGCTTTTAAAGTGTGTAAACCTGAATAATGAAACCTGGTAAGTCATTAGACATATACTAAATTCTGAATCAGCCCAGTCAAGGATAACATTAAGAATTCAGTCTCCTAACATTGCTCCAGGGGTACAGTAACATCTGCAAGGTAAAAACCCTTGGGAAGCACGTTCGGGCCTAAGTCTCTCTGCTGAGTCTTGACTAGAGAGGCATTGAAACCGGAACCAGGGCCTGACTTTGGGCAACGCTGGGCTTCAACTTCGATGCCGGACCTTCCCCCAAAGCGCAGCTGGGGCCTCCGCGTTCTTCCTCCTCCCGGGTGGAGGTGCTGGCTGACCTTGTCCTTGTCGGCAGGGATGCTGCGGAAGCGCCCCTCTGTGGACGACCTGGTGAGCGCCCTGGTCTCTGACTTGGACCCGGACTTCGAAACTTTCCTCTTGGACTCCGAGTGACGGGGACGCCCCGCACCGCCCACGTCCCAGTCTCGAGGATGTTGATGTCGTAAATGCTGTGGCTGCCAACACTGGCTTCTGATGACAGTGTTCGCCTCTGTGCTGACTTCCGAAGACCCTTCGACGGGTGGAACTTGAAATAAATAGTTTGTTTTAATTAACCTGGCTGTTAGTCTGTTTGACAGATTTCGGACATACGGAAACCACTCGTGAGCCAGTGAACACTAACACGTAGGGTTCTTAGGTGTCCAGTCTGGGCGTTCCCTAGTCCTCCTACCCCAAGCTTTGATAATATGATGCGGGGGGCTGGGGGGTCTGTGACAACAACCAAGAAGCCAAGTGTGGTTTCCAGAGTCCTTGTCACCGACGTCACTGGCTTTTCGCTCAGTGTTTCGGTGCACACGGTGGACTCAGAGCAGACGGGACTGAAACGAGCACTTCTCCGGCTCAGTTAGGAACACTTGAGAGTAAGTGCAGACCCAGTCAGCCGGGGGCGGTAGACACCACTGAGTGAGCATGTGCACTGTGTGACCGTCACACTCAAATGACTGAGCAAGTAGAGCAATGAACCTACATCAGATTTTGTGTTAAGCTGCAACATTCTTCCATGGAAACCATTCAGAAGATTCAGAGGCCACAGCTGTGGGCAGCTGGTGATTGGCAGCTTCATTACAACAATGCCCACTCACGCATCATGTCTCATGTGGAATGTTCTGGTGAAACATCGAATCACCTGGTGACTCAGCCCCTACAGCCCATGTTTGGTGCCCTGCAACTTCTTCCTTTTCACAAAACTAAAATCACCTTTGAAAGGGAAGAGCTTTCAGACCCTCGATGAGATTCAGGAAAATACGACGGGGCAGCTGATGGCAACTGGGAGAACTGCGTGAGGTCCCCAGGTGCCTACTTTGGAGGGGACTGAGATGCATCACTGTCCTACATACAGTTTTTCTCTTGCCTTGCATCTTCGATAGATGTCTCTCTTTGTCATAGTGCATGGTTGGGTGCTTTCTGGACAGACGTTGTATGATTAAGTGGCTTTAATTTGTGCAGGCGCAGGTGGCCTGCGGAGACCCCCATGCTAGGCAGACACTGCCCCCGTGCTCCCCACCCAGCCCGCACTCTCCTCACAGCCCTCCTCCAGCGGGGCCCCCCACCCAGGAGCACGCCCACTCTTCTGCCTGCGTGTCCTGCGTGCCCTCTGGTTTCTGCCGCTTGGGGGTCCAGCGTCTCCAAGGTGACTTTCAAACTTCCCATCTGCTTTGTGTCAGCCTCCTGTCCCCTGCTTTTCCTGCTGCATTTGACCATTGGTGGCAGACCCACCTTCGCCCCTCATGACACGTGTTCTCTCTGTGCTCAGGTCCGTGTTTCTGGCTCGGGCATGGATGTCACTTGGTCCTGCTGCTCAGGGGCCCAGGGCTCAGGGAAAGAGCAGAGCCCACTCAGCACCTCCAGCAGGAAGGGGTTAATTCAGGGTATTCGCTGTGTCTGCTCCCCTAAGGAGAGACCACGGGCTGGGTGGCTTAAACAAGAGACATTTCTTTCTCACCATTGTGGAGGCCAGTGGTGCAAGATGAGGGGCCGGCAGGGTCAGGTCAGGTGCAGCCCCGTTCCCTGCGGCTCTGCTGCCCCCTCCTCTGTGCTCTCCCCCATCCAAGGGCCTCCACTCTCCTGACTTCAGGGCCCCCAAAGGCCCTGCCACCAAACCCACCCGGCTCGTTGGAAGCAGGTCCGTGAGCAGGTGCTTCCAGACGTGCAGGAAGGGCTCCCGGGAGGAGACGCTGGGCACCGCTGTCTCCGACTCTGGCCCAGGAGCCCTCAGGCCCGCGCACGGATCCAGAGATCAGGAAGCCAAACTCAGCATGGCGGCGGCACACAGCTGCCTCCTGACTGCTGGCGTGCAACACGGGACCGGACAAGGTGACACCGACCAACCCCTCGCCACCCTCCCCAGCACACGGCAGACACCAGCCAGGGCGGGTCCAGAAAGTGGCTTTCAACACACTTGGCCTTCCAGACTTGCAGGTGTGTCTCCTCCTTGGTGCCCCGTTCACAAGCAACACAGGTAGTGGGGCTCACTGGTCCCAGATTCCTACATGAAAGAGTCCGACCTCTTCCCTGAATCCACGTTTCCCAAATACATGGAGCTTTCTCGCTGCCATTTCTGGTAAAAGCGGCACCTTCTCAGCCAGCAAATTCCCAGACCGGGCACGCTCCTGTGTCCCTCCCCGCCTCCTCGCAGCCCCCCTCCGCGCCCGCCCCTCTCTGTCCAGGCGGCCCCACCTCCTGCCGCCTGCCCAGGTGCCCTCCGTGCCCCTCCCAGGCCCCCTGAGCGACTGTCAGAGGACCCTTCTAAAGCACGCTGCTCACCACGTCACTCCACTGCCCCAGCCTGGCACTGAGTCCCGGTTGAACATCCGGTAAGATGCCCGACTGTTCCGCGTGACCACCGCCCACCACAGGCCTCCGCAGGGCACCTGGTGCCTCCCCTCCCCCCGGCGCGCCTGTGCCGTGCAGTGGCTTCTGCCAGGGGCCGCCTTCCCTCTCTCGCACGGCCAGCCCGGCAGGGCTCTGTAAGGCCAGTGTCATTTGCCGAAGACCAAAGGGAGGTTTCCTTCCTTTGATCTTGTCTTACAGCATATAATTAGATCTTTGTAAAAGCTCCAGGACTTTCTGCTTTATAATGTATTTATTTGTGAACATGTTTACACCCTCTAATTCCCTAAGGTGAAAGGCCACGTCTTGCTTGTTCTAGGGTGGGTCCCTTTCATCATGTCTTTCTCCTTGTAGAAGCCCAGCATTTAATTACTAGACAATGCACATTTTATGGCGTTCTTGTGCAATCTGCGTATCACTGTGCTCGTTCTTCTAGGCCCTGGAAGGACGAGCCGGGAGAGCCAGAGCGGAGGGAACGGATGCGGCAGTGAGGTCCAAGCCCGCCCTGTGTCCCCAGCACCGGGCAGGGCCTGACCTACAGCCGTGACAAGCTGATGAGCTGAACAGATGGGAAGTGGGTCTTGTTGGCCAAGGGAGGGAGGGGACCCGGTGGGGGTGGGGCCGCCCAGGACTAGGGATTTCTGGGCCACCCTCCCACCGAACCTGGGAACTAGGTGAGTGGGGAGAGGAGCCAGACAGCAGCTGTTAAGGAAATGGAAGAAATGAGTGGAGATGACTCTCTCCAGAGCCCTAACGAGACCATGGGAAGCAGGGAGGGCGCTTGGTGAACAATTGTGGCCACCCGCCTCTGGGGAGCACAGAGCACGTGTAACTGCACACGTGTAACAGAGGTCGGCTCCGAGGTGCGCAGAACGTGCAAGATGGAGCAAAGCCCCCTTCACGGCCATCACAGAGCTTCCCAGGCACACGCCCGGCGTGCTGTGTTCGTGCCCATGCGCTGCATCTCGACACAGGTGTGCAGGTAGTTCATTGTACTCGGAGGCCTGGCTGGGCCACCACACCCAGAGGGGGGTCAAACGCCACGCTGGCTGTTTTGGGGGGAAATCGGCATGCAACTCTGTGAATGTCCTCCAGGATGTGGGCAGCCCTCGTCCCATCCACCGAAGTCCCAAACGGAACAGAAGGCTGACTCCCCCCCCGGAGCATGTGGGGGGCCTGCTGCGGCCGCTCCACCAAGTCCAGACTTGCCAGCATCCGTCATCGTGGGGGCTGGCTCCTTCGGGTCAGTCGAAATCAACTCCCCACCCGCTGTCTCCCCCACACACGTCGGTTTGGTTTCTCTAGAGAACCCCGGCTGAGACGGACTCGAACAGACCTCCTCCGAGGAGAAGACTCAGACGTGGAAGGTCCATTTGCCACAGGGAACAGGGGCCGGGCCGGGCCTGCAGGACGGGAGACGCCACAGCCTCCCGCCACGTTCTGGAGCCGCAGCGTGGGACCCGGACCCCGCTGCCTGTGGTCCCCGGGGGGCAACCCGTCGTGACTTAGAGGCTGCCCGGCTTTGACTCCATGTAAAAAATTGCAAACACTTTACGGCCATTTTAAAAAGTTCATGGAATGTACCAGAAACCATGAAATTATACACCTCAGTGAGCGAGCTTTATGGTGTGGGAATTAGGCTTCAATAAAGCTGTTTGTAAAAATGAGTCTCTGTATCATCCCTTTGTCTTCGTTTGTTCAGGGAACAGGGCCCAGTGTCGGGTGCCCGCAGCCGCGTCTTCCTCGCAGCCGCATCACTGCGGTTACACGCCCTCGCTGAACTGTCTTCGGCCCGACAGTTCTCTCCCTGACTCTGGCAGGTTTGTCGGCTTTCTTCCCCAGCCTGTGTGGGGACAGGCTTCACAGGATGACGTGTCACTGGCGGTGCAGTTGTTTCTGCCTCCTGAGAGGTGCGACAGCTTCCGAAGAGTCTCCGGTGTGGGACAAAGGCCGTGCTTCCCACCTCCCTCCACGTTCCTCTCAGTGGCTACTCTGCCCCCGTTAGCGCAGCGTCACCGCCTCAGACGGGGTTTAAATTGTCATGTAGAGAAAGTTAAATGAAGATTTTCTCTCGTATGCAAAACACCCTGTCGACGTATCCTCTTCCTGTCTGACTTTTAATAACACAAACCTCGTGTGTGTTCACACCCTTGGTTGCACATCAGAGAACGCGGACTTGAACCAGCTCCAGTAAAATGGTGACTTTGTTCCAGGCACAGCACTAGAGCATCTCGTGGCCACACAGGGATGTCAGGAGTGGTGAGGATGCTTTTGGCTGCAGATAAGATAAATCTGAAATCAAACCGTGTCAAACTGAATGGAAGAGACTGTCAGGTCACACGGTCCCGGTGACCGCTGAACAGCAGGGAGGGGCTTTGAGCGAGACCCACGGGGCACCCACATTAAATGCAGAGTTCTGCGCGCGTGTGCGTTTTTGTGGGACGAGAGTCCAGAGTCGGCTTCCACTCCCCAGAGGGAGCCGCAGCCGCCCTGCGTCCTCCGAGCAGGGCCGAAAGCCCAGCAGCCGCTGTCATCTCAGGGCCCGAGTCTGTCCTGAGTGGCTGCGGAAGGGAAGAATGGGGGCCCATCTGGGACTGTCGCTGGGAGGACCTCAGGTGCCACCGTGGGACAGGGTGACAGCCCCAGGGAACAGAATTTGCACACTGGGCTCCCACCCAAGACGTCACTGAAGGGATATTGCCCACCACATTGGGAAAAGGAGGGT